ATTTTAGAAGGTTTATAGTTTCAGCATGCATTTAGGTCTCTGGCCCGTTTCGAGTGTATATCTGGTGTAAGGCCAAGGCTCCTGTGTCTAAATACGGATATCCGTCACCACTTATTGACAAGGTTATTCTTTTCCCCATTGTTTGAAATAAATTGATTTCATATATACAGGTCTGTTTGTGAACCATTTATTCTGTTGGCACTGATCTATATGTGTATCCCCATGCCCGCACTACACTATGTTGATTACCCTTGCATTACAGTAAGTTTTGAAATCTGGTGTAGTTAAGTCTTCTAAATTTGTTCTTTTTCAAAGGTGCTTGGCTGTTTTCGATCCTTTGCATTTCCATATAAATTCTGAAATCAGTTGTCAATTTCTGCGTAAAAGCTTGCTGGTTTTTTACTTCAATTGCATTGAATCTGTAGATCCATCTGGGAAGAAGTGATATCACAACAATATTAAATGTTTGGATCCAAAAGCACAGTATTTAGGTCTTCTTTAATGTCTCCCAGCAGTGTTTCATGGTTTTAGAGCATACAAATTTACACACATTTTGCAAAAGTTAACCACATTTGCCAAAATAAATTCTTAGTTTCCTGTCTTTTGACACTATTGTAGATGGCATTTTTAAAAATTTTATTACATGCTGATAGCGTGCAAACATACGGTTGATTTTTGTATATTGATATTTTCTTCTGTAACCTTGCTAAACTTATTTATTATCTAGTAACATCTAAAAATAGTGACGTTTCTTAGGATTTCCTACATGGAGAGTCACGTCATTTGTGTATAAGTACAGTTTTATTTCTTTCTTTTAATCTGGATGCCTTTTGTTTTTTTTGTTTTTTTTGTTTTGTTTTTGTCTTGCCTGGAGTGCCCTGGCCAGAACCTCTAGTCTAGCTTTGACCAGAACTGGTGAGAGTGGGCGTTCCTGCCTTGTTCTGCATCTGTGGCACAAGCACTCCTTCTTTCCCCATTCCTTAGGTCTCAGACCCACCATGCATTCAGTCACCCTCTTGTTACTCTCCTTCATAGCATCTTGCTCTTTTTCTACACGGTCCTAGAAGTGTAATTACATTTTTATCTTATTTCGTTTAAGTTTATTTCCAGTGAGACAGAGACAGTGCAAGTTGGGGAGGGGCAGAGAGAAGGAGAAACCCAAGCAGGCTCCGCACTGCCAGCACAGAGCCTGATGTGGGGCTCACACTCACGAACTGAGATCATGACCTGAGCCGAAACCAAGTGTCAGACACTTAACCCACTGAGCCACCCAGGCACTCCTGTGTAATTATATTTTTAAAACTCATTTGTTTAATGTACTTTTTTCTCACTTGTCTCCAAAACCATATCGATTTCATTACCCTCTATAGTACCTGGCACATAATAATAGGTGTATAAGAAATATTTCTTGAATGAATTGTTCATTCTTGCCTTCTTGCTGACCATCAGTTCTCTTTTTAATTAAACATGTAAAGAGACAGAAAATAATAACCACTTGAATTATTAATCATTCAAATCATGAATCATTTTTATTAAAAAAAATTTTTT